GGGGGTTCAGACAATTCTTTCACTAAGTAAAATGATAACAAATTGGTTGGGGCAAAGCCGGGCCAGCATCTTTCTTATATTTCCAAACGATTTGAAAATGAAAGGAAAAAACTTGAAAATAAAAGGAAACGACTGAAAAAGGAAACGACTGGATTATTTATCATTCAAAATTTGACAGAATAGTCTTTTCATGCTTTGTTCTCCGTATATTAAACGCCTCTTTTAATCAAAAAAAAAATGCCGTAGATACGATACCTCACAATGACATTACGAACAGTTCTTACTCTAGAAGTACAGCAAATGCCGCAGTAGCCAAATAACATACCCCTTAGAGTCAAATCAAGCAAATAAAGTAAGTAAGTTTCGTACTGAGTATACACCAGAACTATTTTGGTTACCTAAATATTACATACAGTTATCGTAATGTTTATAAACCATAATTTTCTGAATGATAAAAATATTTATTATCTTGCCAGCCTATCTTGAAATAAACATGATAGAACTACACATTAACATCGTCCACCGTGGGGTAGTTCCGGTGGTTTTTCTGTTAAATCCGCCAAGCTGTTACACCGGGGTAGAACTGCCGTGCATTTAGAATGGAACCTTTGTGTGCCATTCAGTGCTTGTGCTGGTGGTTGTTGATGCCACCAGCTGGATACAAGTTGTACCCAGGTTCTGCCAGTAGAGGCCTGCCTGAATCCTCAATGAAAGTTCCTTCAATAGTTCTTTTCAGAAGGTAGAAGTTCACTAAGATTTGTGAGGCAGGTGCAGGCCCGTAGCCAGACTTGATTGTTCGGAGGGGCAAGTGATATATCAGGAGGGGCAATGGTTCATATTTAGTTGCAGTAATGAAGTTGGTTGTAAGGATTTGTCAATCCACTTTTTCAGGAGGGTGGGAGGGGGAGGGGTTGCTCCCATCCCCTTGCACCATTGTAGCAACGTGCCTGGGTGGGTGTGCTGTTGGTCACAGAGAGAGAGAGAGAGTGCATGTTACGAGCACCCGATACAACTCCACTACTCGGTTTGTTATAATTTTATTGATTCCAAATGAACAAACAAGTTTTTTCTTTTTTCTGGACGAGGATCTCTGTCCTGTAGACGGTCGTAAATTTCAGAGGGGAACATTTTCTGGGACAAAATTTACAGAAGTAAATCTGGAATCTGGGTTACCTGGTTACAAGACATTCAACTTTCATTAAGAACTACCATACTTACCTCACATTGACCGAAAGATTGGAAGCCAGTATAACTGTCGTGTAAATCGTCGTAAATTACAGAAGGGAACAGAATTTACAGAATTAATCTGGAATCTGGGTAACCAGGTTACAGGACATTCAAACCAACTGATAAAATAACAATCGAATTCTTTGTCGGTTATTACCTACTCAAAACTGATAGACATTGTTTACAATACTAGGTGCCATCTTGATGTTTTGTTTACCACCTAGTTAGAGTGTTTTTATCACGAGATACAGTGTTATGTAGTGATTTAGATCGAGATTAAGGGTGTCGCATCATCAATATGGCATAAATGATATTTTGATTCTAAACTTACTGATAATAAGTCGTTATCCTGGTTTCTTGGTGTTTATTTTAGATTATTAGACTACCAGGTATTTAGTACAAATGCATTAAAGACTTGCAGCTCAGAAACTGCGACCTTGAATATGACATCTTTCCTCATTATTCCAAACGATCCAGCAGTAAATGGGAGCGATAATCCGAGAAAGATCAATGCCAAGAGGTTTGACCGAGGACCAGCTGCGAGACAGAACCCCGTGAAGCTTAGACGTTATCGCTTTTTCATTCTTTGTATGATTTTGCCCGTCTTCTGTATTACAATTCGGAGCAGAATAATCGGACGTAAAACTCCATTTCACCTTCAATTGTATGTAGAAAATTTGTTTTGTGTGGTGCCGATGAAAAAACACCTGATAATTCTCTGATGCAAAAAAAGAAACACAAAGAAAGTAACAACCATTTTAACTTGACAAAACCTCTAAAAAATTTATCTTTCCTGGATTATCCATACCCATTTACAGCTGGGTCGATGATGATTCATGACCATTAAACTTTCACTCGTCGACCGAGAATGGAACCTACGGCCACCATATGTTCGACGTAATCAAGCAAATGACGTCATGAAATGTTTTCAACGCTGTAATCGTCTGTACTACAGAACCCCTCCAGCTGATGTGTGGTTTATATTTCATCGGGAATTTATCCATGTCTGCATCATTTTTTTCTATCGGCGTAAAAAAAACTTAATTTGACAATATTTATTAAACACTGATAAGAAGTAGTAAATATCACGACATAAGACATGAAAACACCCAAATACTTCTGTAAATGAGAGATAAAATACACACTGGACCTCTATCTTACACAACTAGTATCACCTGAAAATATGTAACCCTCTTAATATTGATATATCAGCTGAAAGACCCCGGAACCCTGAGTTCAAGGTCGTAAGTAAGTTCAAGTTATGGAACTGGGCTGTATGAATACCGTACTTTGAGATAAGAGTAACATGGCGGAAACTTCAAAATCCTTAATTTGACAAATCAGTATAATACTTTTTTTGTAGATAAAGTGTAAAATACTCTTTTATGGTGAATTAGTATTAGTAGTCTTTGTCGGAAACTAGAGGAATCAGCAGCGGCCCTGGATGTTAATATCCGTAACATCCTCTGAAAAGTGGTAAAGTCATCTTAGTATATTAGTGATGTTGTGTTATTGGGACCGTAAAACAATGTCGGATTAGCAAGACTGTCGGATTGCTCAAAGTTCCAAGATTTTTTAACGAGTGCAACATGGTACTATATATAGATCAGTGTCCCAGATAGGCACAGGGGGTCAAACTTTACTGATCCTTTGAAAAGTTACTACCCCATCAAGTAACAAAGAATCAGCCTTGGAATTGTCTTGAAAGAAATGGTTATCGTCTGGCAATGCAATAACGAAGTGGGAATTTAACAGATGTTTTGTTTCAATAACAATCTACCACCATTTAACATTTTGTACAATACCCTACAAATATACAATAGTAACGATATATATTAAACGTGATATTTGTACAGATCTGCCTCGTGGTGTACGCTAGTACATTAAAGGGAAAATCCGGATCCTGTATTATAAAAACCCATAAAGCCATACTAACGCAATACTAAGGGGCTCGGGTCTGATTAAATGGTTTGATCTGAGAGACTACAATGAAAAATGCGCCGCAGTTTCTAAGAAGGAAATGAAATTTATATGAATTGAATGAAGTTTTACGTCCTACTTTTTTGCACATTGTGGGCTAATGAAGACGGGGGAATTTGAAAGAGACCAATGTAGAAATACAATGTTTCTATGGTATTCATGTATTCTAAAGTGTCAAACAATGAACCCTTGTATACTGGTATAAGATGTTCACGTTAAAGATTATTCGCAGTTGAAAATTTGGACAGAAGAGAGCTTGGACTGTATAGCATATATCATCCAGTCTCACTCCTGTGACGAAAGATGTCCTCATCAAAGACAGGGTAAGTCTTGGTGTCAGAGACTAGTTGACGTAACGCATATTAAGTAGTAGTAGGACTTTTCAATCATTTCTTTGAATCAATTAAAAATGCAACGTAATTCAATACTATATGCGGTGGCTGACAACACAAGGAAAATACGAAAAATAATCCCATAATGCTTTTGGACCACCATCTGTGACTGAATGACTTCAACGGTCATGTGATAATTATATGTTTGTTAGAGTTATCTCCTTGTGTAAGAAAAAAGATGGCGGATTAAAGATTTTGTAAACACAGATTTTGAATGCATGATTCGACCTGCACATTTGAATGAGTATACAGTCCTCACTATATGATTCGGAGCCTTTCTTTAAGCGTTTGAGAACCCAACGCTGGTAAACTTACCGCCCATTCCCTTACACCATCTTAGACCAATGTTCTCCTTTAAAACACAAAATAGTATATCATAATATTATGTTAGAAGATGTTCATTGCCAATAAAATGTCTACTAACAATGTTAAACAATCGTGAATATCTTCAAGTCATTTGGAATACGAGTGATCTGAACTTTCAATAAAGATGTAAAATTACAGAGTTAGGTTTACAGCACTGCAACAAGAAATCTAATATTGAACGAACCTTGTTAGCCTTTTAACTGGATGTGCAATTTTTCCAGTTGTTTAAAGAGCCTTACTGAGACCGACATTTTTTCACAGCATCTGATTGAAATCGTCACTGGCTTTTCAAGCTATCATCAGCTTATTAAGGCACTCAACTAAATGATCACAGATTCCGGAATCCTTGGTTGACTAAATCCAACTGAATTTTC